CAAGGGTTGGTCGAGTGTTTATGCCTTTGGTAGTTGTTGGGACAGATTTTTTGTGGAGCCAATAAAGTTAACGCTTGAAAATTTAGATTTTAGGCTAGGAATTATGATATGAATTGTTTGGGTATGAGTTGGTCAAAGATTTATGTTATATTCATTTTAGTTGTAGGAAGGAAAAATCCCTAAAAAATTAGAGTTTGTTAGGTTCTCATACCAAACGACACTGATCTAGGTTTCTTAGATTGTGTGGAAAGATCAAGGGATGAGTAAGGATAGTAGTAGGATAGGTAACAAATGAGGAAGAAGTGATGACGGATGAAATTTTGTGCAATCGACGGTTGGATAACAGAAAAACTGCTGTTGGGTTGTGTAATTGATGGCATGGGAGGTCTTTGAACGTTCGAGAGAGATTGTAACGTTGATTCAATTAGTCTACAGACACACCAACTGGTAGAAATCAAATGATACAACACTCTAATAATGGATACAGATAGAAAAGTCTCCAAATAACGTTAACCAAGCAAAAGTGTTTCAATCCAAGTATTACAACCTATTTATGGGTTCCAAGCAAATTAACCCAAATAAAATTCTAACTAAAGTTGGAACCCTAGAAGAGGGGTTCAACCAACTCATGTGGGCTAGGGAAGGTTGAATCAGTCCTTCTTGGAAGGACTGATTCTCACATCTCAGACTCCTACTCAAGATCAGAAGCGGGAGTCATCCACAACATAGATATCCGTGCCACATGTCTCATCATTGACCGGCGCAAGCCTCACTTGAAGCTTTCTTCCCGTGCCTTAAGACGCTTATCTTGTGCATCGATTTTAGGCGCACTTATTGAATGCTTTTTCTAACAATGGTGAAATTTGGTCTCCAGGCCGCCTCTCTTGAGTTTAACACTCAAAGTATCCTCATAGCTTTAGTAAAGACGTCTCTAATCACTTCATTATCTAATCAAATATTTCTTTAGGCATTGACACTTTGTAAACCTAGTGCTACATCAATTCCCTAAATCTCTACTAACTCTTCTCTAAAGAGTTGTTGTGGCTTATAATGGGCAGTGGAGTGTTGTAGGTATAAGAAGATCATCATGTGATGTCACCTATAAAATAAAGCTCTCTACTTCCTAAAAATGGATTAGTTTAAAACATTTGTTGGCATTTACTATTATTGGAATTTTTATAGCGACATGTTGACCATTCAAAATTATTGTAATTCCATCAAAAATAGTTTTATGATCAGTATTAATAATTGGAACAATTGCATTGTTAGAATTGGCAGCTAGATAATTCTGAAATAAAATAAAAGAAACATAAATAGGAAGAGAATAAAAACAAACCAAGGAGTTTCAAAGTTGTCTTCCAATTCAATCCTCTAGGATCCTTGTAGGAGGTCGACCGGTCCCACCTTTTTGAATTTCCACAAACCTTATTTTAACAACACTATTATATTATGATTACAACCAAAGCATGTATCTTTTCTTGTGTATAAGTCTATCGGTTATTTATCATAAGGCATATTGATCAAGTGTGAAACCTTGTGCTAACCATGATTGATTTAAAATTGGTCTATTTGGCAAGTTTTCAATCCTATTCTTCACTCAATGTTTATGAGGTTCCCGTGGATAACACAATTTTTTTGTTGTTAAAGCTTCTAGGATCAGTTGGTTCTAATTTCACTGACTGACAAGCTAGAGTTTGTGACAACTCAGAATAATGAAATCATTGCTTGTCATCATCCCCCACTATTTTCACTTTATACTATCGAGAATATATTCTTTTCAGATCAAAGGGTTATTACTAAAACAAACCATCATAACCTACTGACCATTCTTATTGAAAGGGGTTTCTTGCTATTAAGATAGGTTCTTAACCATGGGCTTGCTTCTATATGATCATGAAGTCTTTATTAGAGAATAAAACTGAGATATCTAATTAGAATTATAGCTAAAAAATCAATTCATATTTTCAAATTTAACACACAACTATTCAAATATCAATTGGCCAAAAGGAAATTTTTGGAGCCCACTCTCGTGTCATAAGTTGCAATGAGCCCTATAAAATGTGAAGGGCATGAACCAAATAACTTTTGGAAACCTTTTAAATATAGGACAATAGGATATACTAATCCTTACAAAATTTTTAATTCACAAATTATTCATGGTTCACCCTTTTTTCGTAAAAAAGCCGATACTATATTATCATTTATTCTTAAAAACTTTATTAGATTGTTCTATACATGCTAATTTGGCAATAACTGTTTGGTTAAGTGATACCGGAGGAAAAGACCCAAATATTCACGAAAGAACACAATTTTTATTACTGAATTCAAAAGGATACAAATGAGAATCTTGCGATATGAAATAAACCACAATAAACATACAAACAGAAAGGACAAGAAGACGCTGCGAAAATATAAGATAGAAAGCAACACAAAATATATAAACGGCTATCTAGGAAATGGGGACAAGGGTGGTGGTCGGAAAAAAAGCTGGCGACTGCTGCAGGATTGCAGGAGGGAGCTGAGGTGCTTGGGGCAGCAGCAGACCAGTGGTGGGGTCTGGACGACAGGGCTGGATGGCAGTGGAGACAGGCGCCGAGGGCTGGACAACAGTTGTGAAAGGTGTCGATGGTTGGACAGCAGCAGGGACAGGCCCAAGTGGGTTGTTGGCAGCAGGGGCTGGTCAAGGAGGGCCTTGACGGACTGTTGGAGGGTACAGGGATAGCTGTGGAAAGTGCCGAACAGCAGCGAGGAAGATGTCAGCTGGCTGGCGGCAACAGTAACACATTCGTGGTAGTTGCTATAGTACCGCGGGCGGTAAGCTCCCGCATCATTAAGTGTTAATGAAAGACAATCATAAAGAATGGTAATTTGTACTCTAATACTCTTACAATAGCAAGCTCCTTGTATGCTTAGTAAACTTATTCAGTATGATGTTTCTGAAACTAGCTTCTGTTGATCTATGGATTATCCATCAATAGTTTGAAATCAGATGAAAAATATTGACTTTATCTAGTTTGACATGACATGATTTAGTAGACACCTCTCAACATAGAATTTTTCATTTTGCCACCAACGGGAAAGAAAGATAGAAAAGAAGGAATGCCTTGCCAATTTCTTTCCAATGCCATAACCTTGGATTTCACTGACCAAATACTGATATATGACGATGAAAATAAAAGAAATATTACTAAATTCATTGTTAAATTTTCCCAATTGATACATGATCTCTAAAAATAGGTTCACTCATAAGGGACCCTGGCATTTTCAATTTCATGTTCATTGATATCTTGCTTCTCGTCTACAACTTAATGCTGTGATTTTTTCCTTTCTTTTATTTGATCTTTAATCACTTTGTATACTTAATAGCTTTTTGAAGAGAACTTCTTCGGCTTTACAGGGAATTTTTTATTTTTTATAGGATAATATTTATATTAACCGTAATGGTTGCCGAATTTTAAAATTAAAAGAAATATCTTTTAAAATCTTAGAACTTAATTATAAAATATTTAGAGATGTATAGTGCCTTGATAACTCTAAGTTAATTTGCTCAGTGTTAGCAGCTGAAACATGGTTCCAGCTTGATCGTTGATGGGGGAAGGTCAAAATTTTGCCATGTGCATGTAACTGCACACCATTGAATTTTGCAATTTATTAAATATTTGCTTAATACTGTTACAAATGCATGCTTGAAAAGATTATTGACTCACTGAACATCGTAATATCTTCCCTTTGCTATTTCAGGCACCCCTTTTTCCATGTCCTATTTCCCTTTTATGTTTTTCTCTTGAACAGAATAATATTTGATGTGGTTTCCCATTTTTCTGTAATGAACATTTTTTTCTTAATGACATGATTTAATAAGCAGATTCTTTTTACATTGTATGACGTTTGTTGGTAGCATCTATGCAAGTAGAGCTGTTTTTTATTTCGATTTGTATACTAATGAAAATCTATAGAATGGAATTCATAAAGCTTTAACTCTGTTTCTTATCTGCACAGACTGCACTCTACTTTCGCGCATATTTCTTGCCAGCATGTGAGCCTTACTAACTAAATACTTTTCTCAAGCTACACACACCACTTTTATGTTTATCCTAAAACATTGCTAGCAGTTAACCGACCTCTGTTGCACAGCACATTTATTCCTGTCGACCAAATGTATGGAAGCAGTTTCCATGTCTGGTAAAAATTTCTTTTTCACTCTATTTTCCCTGTCAGTGTGTCCTTTAAACTAAAGTTTTCTTTCTTGCCACTTTCGCCATTGTTTTAGTTATGTTGTTCGCAGACATTGAAGAAGCTTACCACTCTCTTATTGTATTATGTTGAATTCCTATAAAACACAATCATGGGAATCTGCATTTGGCTTTTTGTTATTCAGATTAACTATTTTTTGAAGTTCCCTTTTCAATAATGTTTCGGACCACTGATATTTTGTGATGCATTAATGAATAAATTAAAATTTTAAGTTGTCTTCATCATTTCTTGAAATATTTCTCATCATGTGTACAACAACAACAAAACAACAACAAAGAATCCCACTACATGGTGTCGGCTACATGTACCCTTTTTCTCCACTGCATCCTATTTAGTGTCATATTTTCATCATGTGTACATTTATTATTAATCTTATTTATTTATTTATTTTTTTTCTTGTGTGTGCGTGGACATTTCTTTGTATTGCTTGTTAGGGTTTCGGTTTTTGGGTCTGATTTCACGTGACTGTTGATTCATACATCCATTTGACAAGAAATTCTGTGATGGTAAAATAGTAAATGAAATGTTAGCATGCATGGACCATTTTTCTTATCTTCCATTAGATTCACTATTATCATTGCATCAATTTTTTTTTTTCATTTTGATAATCTCAATGTAACTCAGGTTTTCTTCTGCATGCTGAATTGCTGACAATGAGGTCTCATTGGAAAAACTGATCTTCTTTATTGATGTTTAATAAATGATAATTTTGTTTTCTATAACGAAATTGCTTTTTCTTACCTTAGATATTTGATCTTCTTCGCGGACAACTATGGTACACGCCTAACCCAGGCATCTATATTAAGCTGATTGTCATGCTTGGTAAATGCAAACAGCCTGACCGAGCACATGCACTCTTTCAAGCCATGTCTGATGAGGGTTGCATCATAAACCATGAAACATATACCGCTCTTGTTTCAGCCTACAGCAGGAGCGGTCTTTTTGATAAAGCATTTTTCCTGCTTGAAAATATGAAGAATACTGATGGTTGTCATCCGGATGTTCAAACCTACTCCATTCTCATCAAATCTTGCTTGCATTACTTCAAATTTGATAAAGTCCAGTTCCTACTCGCAGACATGAAAAACCTGGGAATTGAGCCAAACACTGTCACCTTCAATACACTTATTGATGCTTATGGGAAAGCAGAGAGGTATACATCTTGATTTTAGTTCCAAAGATTCGGAACTACCTTCTTGTCTATCATAGCTTTTAAGTGGTTTACCTTAACTGTTTTAGTTCAGTAAGCAAACTGCAAGTAATTTATTGTGAAATGAAAAATTCCTTATCAGCAGGGGTTCAGAACCATATAATACAATTGTTGCAACTGTTTCTCAAAATTTTTATGTTGACTTCTACTTTTTCATCTCCAAGCCATAACATTACAAGTTCTAAAATGCTTTCCTCTTCTCCCTCTGATAGATTTGCAGAGATGGAATCTACGCTAATGGAAATGCTAGGGAACCATGATTGCAAGCCTGACATCTGGACAATGAATGCTACTCTACGAGCTTTCGGGGGAAGTGGGCAGATTGAGATGATGGAGAAATGCTATGACAAGTTCCAGGGCTCGGGCATCTCTCCTGACATTAAAACATTTAACATACTCTTAGATAGTTATGGCAAGGCTAGAAAATATGAGAAAATGAGTGCAGTGATGGAGTACATGCAAAAATATTATTTCTCATGGACGTTGGTCACCTACAACGTTGTCATTGATGCATTTGGAAGAGGGGGGGAT